CCGAATAAGATGTTTTTGCCATCTATTTGCACATAATTGAATTTCTCCTAAATGTGACTGACAGAAACAGTGAGAAATGGGAGTTCAGTTTGCATATCTTGTAATGTAGTCTTTCTGAAAGGTGTTCCTTGGTGTGCTGAGATTTTTAGCTATGTGATAGGAAGGAAATATATTAATGTTCTATCATGGAGTTTTGACCCTTTACATGTTCTGATTTTATATTTAGTAATAAAGAATATAAACAACTGTTATGTGTTGCTAGTGATTCAACTTTAAGAGTAAATTTCCTGTGGCTATTCAAAGTCCTGAATAAGTCTAACTGAAGATGCAGAGGGAACAAAAAGGTTTCTATTTGTATTCATCTATGTGCATCACTACTTTCCTGGTTATGTGCACAACAGCACAGAAATGAACTAAATAAAACTACCAAGGTAAAAATCTGCACATCTCTAGGTCTTAATTTCAAAATCAGGCTTATGAGGGTCTTATTGCATTAATAAACTGACACCAATATTAGTAAGAGTCTACTAGAAAGTATATGATTAAGCTTAAATGTTATCAAAGCATGATTTCAAAACTTTCTGACTGATTTTTAGTTTAAACTGCAAACTTGAAATCTAAAATAAGATTTTTAAGTCAACTGAGTACAATAAATCAACAGTAGAAATTACCATTTAAATGTCATTTTCCTAATAACATAAGTTAAAAATTCCCTAATTATAACTGCCAGAGAAACTGAGTATTCTGAAGAGTTCAAAGGCTTTAGAAATATCTATCATATCTCATACTACCGCACTCTTACACTCATTCATACTATAATTAGGGCTATCATACACATGCCACAGAGATGTCATTTTTTGAATTACAAAGTAAATAATAAAAATGTCATAAGACAAGTATTTGTTTGTAAATTCTAAACTCATACATGAACATCAAATGAAATTCTTGTACGAACTAAATAAATTCAGGACACTAGTTTCTTTCTCATCTACTGAGAGTCAAATTTAGACAGCTGAATTTACATAATAATTTACCATTAAAAATTGATAAAACTAACACCCAGTCACACAATAAATTCCTTGAGAAAATATCTATAGAAGTTTTTTTCAAATATATGTTTCACTGAGTCTTAGTTCAGAAGATGTATGTGAAATCCTCATCTTGGATTATGTAAATACATATCTTGATTAGCATATGAAAACTTGAGAAATTTATCAATAAAATTATGCAACACTGTTAAATGGATATAGTTCTTGGAGTGTTGCAAGGCTCTGACCTTGAGGAACTCCAATTTTAGAGAAAGCACACACATAATAAAGGGAACCTATATACCAGTGTTCTTTCTCAAGAGGCTGATTGACTTTAGAGTCAGAAGAAAAACATATTCCTGTAAGTACTAGAAAAAGAAAATTCTACACAAAGATTAAGAATTTATAATGATGAAGCAAACTTATGCCTACCTGTTCAGATTCAGTTCTGCCCTCTCACCAACATCAATCCTACATATGTACTCCAACTTTATTGTGATAAGAATCACTGGGAGGAAGATTCTGAAGGAGGAGTTAAATCTGCATTTTGACATCCAATCCAAGAAATTCTGACTGTACTTTAAAAATTCTACTTCTGAGGAGCCTCCCTGATGGTGCAGGGGTTAAAAACACAGCACTATCAAACTACTGCCAGCCACTCAATACATGTTCAATCCCCAGAGGGCCAGGGAGCTAACACAGCAGCCCTCTCCTGTCTTGCTTCCTGCACCCCTCAGCAGGGTATTTCAGTGGATCTGCCTTTTCTGCTCCCCACTCTCTCTGGTGAATCCTCCGACCCCCCGCACCTCTGGCTAACATCCCAGCTCTTGTATGCATAAATACATCTTTGGGGAAAATAAAAATAATTCTACCCTGATACATGAAACTAACTTCAATGCATTGACTTTACAAATGCTATTCCCTTGGTTTAGAATATCTTGCCCTCACATTGTCTTTTTCACACCTCAAAACCGGGCAAAAATGTGGTCTCACTGATGTTGCTTTCATCTTTCTCTCCAGTGGAGCGGACTTTATACAAGATGTGATAGTTAAGAATGTGGATTTGATTCAAAATGACTTGCTTGACTACTTTCTACTGTGTGTGAACTAGGGAAATCTCCTAAGTCTAAGTCTCAGTGTACTCAATCTGACAGAGTTAAAACTAGTAGCTATACATTAAGAGAGTTATTCTGAGGATCAAATGAATGAAAAACCAGTACCATGACTATTCAATATTGTTAACCATACAAAGTATCTCATCAATTACCAATCACAAAATATTGACCTTTCAAGACATATCATCTGTAAAGCCTGTACTGGTTACCCAGTCCCTCTTTCACATCCCCAAAGCATCTTGTATTGTACCTCCACCTTACCAAAAGATGAGTTCATGCATTTATCACAGACCTTAATATCAGCAACCATTAAAAAAAAAGTTCAGCATACTTTCAGTATACAAAAGATGCTCAAATTCACCAAAATAAAACAGAAACCCCATAATATTCAACAGAAAGAACCAATGCAAAACAATGCTCTTTTGCCTCAATTTCGTTGATTCAAAAACTAACACAAAATAAGGAAAATGTAGGTAGAAACACAAATACTGGTAAGAACCAGGATAAACGAGGACAGCAATGACCACAGAGGATATTGTTTTAATGTTAGAATATAAGAGGTGCTTTCCTTATGTTAGGCATAACCTGTTTGGAAAGAGCCAACAAACAGTTGACTGCCATCTTAATTCAAAGTAAAGCTGAAGCTAATGGGATTGTCACCAATTCCAACAGCGGATGCATGGCTGGGTTCCCACTGTACTTCACCTACAGGCAGAAAATAAGAAGAATCAATGCTCCATTTCCAAATAATCTTTCCCTCAATAGTTCTACATACTATTTTTTTTTTCTGTGAGATCCTCAGAAGGGATACATACTACTTCTTTCCTTCCTATGCAGACAAAATTTACAGGCTTCTAGATTTTTAAAATATGTAAGCTCTTCATGGAACTGCTGACCACAAGCCACACAACTAATTTCCATGCTGTTCAACTGTTAACTAGTTATAACTAGATCACACTTGTGCTCAAAATGTTATATGAAAAAACTGTTTTCACCTTTCTGCTATGTGGGAACACAGAGATGATGGTCATTTATGAACCAGTAAATGGGTACTAACCAATGAACCTGATGGTTGGAAGAAGTAACTGAGCAAGCTGTAAAAGATGTCGCTATCTTTGTTTTTAGACCTGCAAATGAACCTGATTGTTGCTAATACTCTGAGTCATGGAACTTTTTTTTAAAAGAAAAAAAAGGATGTCTTTACTTTTGAATGCTGCAGTTTTCTGAGTAGACCCTCAAAGGGATTTTTTTTTTGGTATGTCAGCAGCTCAAGCAGTGAAGAAAACAATGAAGAGAATGAATAACTGAATAACTTACAGGGATTACAAGAAAAAAGAATGAAGACAAAATGCAAAGAAAAAATATCAAGTTTTAAGAGGAACTTCAAATTAAAAGAATCAAAAATTTCAGAAGAATAAAGTCAGAAAAGGGCACTTACATCACAAAAAAGACCAAAAGGAAAAGCATTCTTCTAACCAATAGTTCTGAAATCTCCAAAGAATAACAAATGCTGGCATATGTTAAATTTGAGCTTGAAATTTTTTTGACCATCTTTCAAATTTATGTATGCATGATTATGCTTTCCAATAAATCACAGCCTTTTCCAAATATTTTTCATTAAAAAAAAACTGTTTCTGGCCCTCCCTGGTGGCGCAGCATGGTAAAGCACTGCACTAAGAAGCTTAAGCCACTTCCACATTAGTTCGATTCCCGCC